TATATCATCAGAGTTTGAAAGTTGGGTTGAAAATTGAGGATTTTTAGTGGAACCAATATACAAATTTCCATCACCACCAACTTGAAAATTCATGTTTTAGAGAAAAGAAAATAGAGCATGAATGTATAGACAACTCAAAAGACCGTTGTGGGGAGGAAAAATGTTTTTTCAAGAAAGAGACTAAATAGGAGAGAAAATTAATAAATAAAATGCATAGAAACTTATAATTTATTAATTAAAATTATGATAGAGGGTGAAATTTGACTCTCTAGTTGTGGAGAGCCAAACTCACTCTTTAATTTATATTTAAAGAATAAAGAGTATGTTGAACTCTTGTTTTTATGGATAAACTCTTTATAATAAAGAGTTTGAGTCATATAAAGAGTCCTTTGGAGATGCTCATCTAAAATCATAAATGTTCGGAGCAAGTGGGAGAAATGTTAGAATTTAATTAATATATTTGTTATGGTCCTTGACATTTAATCCAAGGGGACATTTATTTCAGTTATAAAATGTTTGTTATTAGTTGAAGTGGTATTTATTGGTACCTGTACAGTGGCCACTATTCATGAAACAATTTCTTATGAAGGATTTTTAAACGGTTATTTCCTTGGTAGAAAGAAGTCTATAAATAAAATTGATATAGGTCCCTGATTCATACAATTTTGACACCCTATATCCATCGCTAAGAATTGCTTTTGAATTAGATCTCATAAAGACATTTAGTTTTGGATATCCCGCTATGGTTGGAGGTTAGTAACATATTATTTTTCGCTTTCGCTAAATTCTTGATCTATGATTTTGTAAACATTTAAATGCATAAGTTTACATGTGGTATCAAAGCAATCCTTAGTCCCTTGAAGATACCTCATGACCTTCTTTGGAACTTTCCAGTGTTCCAATTCCAGATTACTTTGATACATTCCTAACATTCTAATTGCAAAAACAATGTCCGGTCTAGTATGGAACTGACCATACATTAGGCTTCCAGTAACTAAAGCATAAGGAATGTCTTTCATCTATTCCCGTTCAAAGTCATTCATAGGACATTGATTCAAATTGAATATGTCACCTTTCACAATAGGCACTACACTAGGTTAACAACCTTTCATCCGAAATCTCTCAAGAACCATATTGATTTAAGCTTCTGGAGACAAACCCAAGATACCGTAGGACCTCTATGAATCTTAATGCCAACGACATAAGACGCCTCGCCTATATCTTTCATATCAAAATGTTTAGAGAGAAATTATTTCACCTTACGCGGCAACCTTATATCATTGGTTACAAGCAAAATACCATCTACATATAAAACCAAAAAGATGGTTTTACTCCCACTACCCTTGTGATAAATACATTGATCCATAATGATAGATGACCCGAAGGTACTAGGAGGTAGCACTAGAGCTGGGAAGGTTCAACGTTGCCATAAAAGGAGCAAAATCCGACGTGGAAGTCGAAGAGTCATGAAATGGAGAGTGGTGAAACTTTTTGAAAAACGGCTAAACTTCGGTGGAATCAGCTTGGGGAAGATGGAAAGAGCCAAGGGGAAGGTGAATTGTCGCTTGGGAGGCTGAGCTATTGCCCCATAAAAGGAGCAAAATCTAGCATGGAAGTACGAGCTATCACACCATAAAAAAGAGCAAAATCCAGCGTGGAAGTAAAAGAGTCATGAAATAGAGAGTGGTGAAACTCGTCGAAAAACGGCTAAACTTTGGAATCAGCCTAAGGAAGATGGAAAGAGCCAAGGGGAAGGTGAATCATCACTTGCGAGGCCAAGCTATTGCCGAAAAATGGCAAAAACAACTCGGGAAGATGAAGAGGCGCGTGAGATGGCGTGATGGTGGTGGTCGTTGGAAATGGGAGATGGCCGGCCGTTGGGAGGCGAACGGTTGCCGGCCTGGAAGATGAAAGGTCGTCAATTGGCAACCAAAATCTGATTAAAGTGAAGCTTTGGTGGTTGGCTACATTTCACGACTCTTCACTTTCCTTTTATAGTGTATGTGGCAAATTTCATTTGGTCCTTGCATGATTGAAAAGTGACAAAATCAGCCCCAAGTGTTTATGACAATTTGACCCTTAAATAGCATAAATGAGAAAAAAATCAACTCTAATTAATAAATCACATGCTAATATCAACTTTTACAATCTCAAAATTCATTCCAAACATGCACAAATTGTAAGGAAAAATTAAAATATGATTTTTCATTAGTAATCTCATAAATTCTTTAATTGCCTCACTATGATTTCATTATTAAGCACAAATGGGTATTTTAATCATTGTAATCATCGTAATAAAGTCATTTTTCTTTTGATTTGTTTGAAATGCTTTCCTACATGAAGCCTTTTAATCTTTTAATTTCTTTGAATGGTCATACTCTTTTTATCTTTTAATTTCTTCACTAACTTCTTTTGCTTTTCAAGAGGGAACAAGACTAAAACTCTTGTTATGAAATTACTTTGAAATAGCATGATGGGTAGTTGATGTTTTCTTGATTACTAGATGTTTAAATGCTCGTCTACAGTCCGGAACATTTCACAAAACAAGAAGCAGAGAAGTGGTGGGCCGAAAATTCAGCCGAAGTGTACATATTATGCTCTTTGACTTTGATCATTCTCTTCGTTGTGCTTATTGTTTATGAATCCAGTTGGTTTATGAATTTTGTTATTGAATTTGTAATCAATTGTAAACTTTGATCTTAGGATTGTTGTGAAATCCAAATATGACAAATATTTCTAGAGGGAGATGAATAAGAATCAATAAAAATAAATACGGTATAAAAACTTTCCCTAACATACAAGTTATAAACAAGTATCATCAATAATGATAAGCAATAAATGTGCAATGTTAATGATCAACAAACATAAACAATGGTGAGCTATAGATGGAAGCAATAAATATGAGCAAGTAATAATGATAAGTAAGTAATAGATATGCAAGGAATAATAAATGAGCTAAAAGAGAAGAAATGCTTAGAGATTTATAGTGGTTCAAAACTATATTCACAAGCCTCCTACTTCCACTTCTTCAAGGAAATCTTCTTGAAGTTTCACTAGAATCGGATTGCGCCCTTTACACTAGTTTGACAAGATTTCGCCTCTTTACACCAGTTTGATAGGATTTCACCTCTTAAAGAGTTTGATAGAATTTTGCCTCTAGATTTATAGGATTTTACCGACAAGATGTTTGAATAAAAGTTTGTGATTGATTTTCTCTCAAGATAGGCTTAAACACAAAATAAGAACAATACTCTCAAAGGTTTTCAATAAGAGTACAAAAAAGTGTTAATGATTTGGATTTTTAGGTCAAGGGATTATGTGAGAATATTTTTTATAAGACTTTTGTTTTCTAATATTCTCACTCATTGTTTCTTTGCAATAAATCACTCTATTTATTGCTTGCCTCTCCCTTTGAAGTAGAGAGTTATTACTGCATTAAATGCACATTTGAAAAGCTGTAGTACCTAGAGGAATAAGCGTTCCACCATCGTGAACGACTGTTCCCAACATAACATATATTTTTTCTCAACTCTAGGGTTTATGGAATGATCATTCCACCATCACGAATAAGCGTTTCACTATTGCGAACGGTCATTCCACGACATGGAACCTCGGTTCATTGGCTCCTTAAAATCCATGAAAACTCTAGAAGCTTGAACGGCTTTTTAAAACAATGTCGTTCTCCCAAGGAACGATCTTTGAATAGAAACAGTCGTACAACGTGATCGTTTCGCTTGAACCACTTATACTTCAACTTGATCTTCAAAGCTTGGTCTTCAAGACTTGTCAAAAGTGCAAAGACACTTGAATTTGAATACTTTGACTTTTGACTTAGTTGGAACAGTCGTGTAGCTTGGTCGTTCCATTACGAGCGACTTGACATGATTTTGGGCATAGGCATGAACAATCACCTAGAACGAGGTTGTGATGTGAGGAACGTTCATTTGGGTAGCTCTATGAAACTAGAAACGATCGTTCCATCTTCATGTATGGTCATACCATCTAGGAAAAACTGCATTTTTGTTTTGATTATGACTCTTGTCATACCTTTGCATGTTTGTTAGATATCAATCTAGTTTTAGCACATCAAAACACATGAGAGCTTAACAATTGTTATTGAATTTTTAAAGTATTTTTATTTATGTCATCATGCTAATGTTAGCATGATGATGTCACTAGTCTATCAATTGGGTCGGGTCATTGCACGGGTCGAGTTTTAAATCATTGATAAATACCACTTCGACTAATAACATACATTTTATAACTAAAATAAATGTCCACGTGAATTTAATGTCAAGGACCATAACAAATAAATAAATTAAATTCTAACAGTACAGTGGAAAAGTGCAAATATAGATGAGGGGTATTATTATGCAATGGAATTTTTTTTTTTTAAAAAAAAAAAGGTAAGTTATATCTCTATTAGAAAAAACAGAAGCATCTAAAGTGGAATATGGTTCTATTTAATTATATTAACTTCCAATGACATAAATATCTTTAAAAGATAATATTAGTGTGAATGAAAAAATTAAAAAATTGATAATAAAAATTAAAAACTGTAAGGAAAATGTTATTAATGAAAAATAATTGGTCTATTATTATAAATAACCAAATATGACAAAATTATTAATCCCTCAAATGAGCATAAAAGGATAGTTATCGTTACGAAATGGACAGTGATTATAAAATAAGAGAATTCTAGGGAATTCCTACAGCCTCTAGGTTCCTAGAATTTAGATTAAATCAATCAAGCTAGCTGTCACTCTCAATTAGACTCTGAATTAGAGGTCCGGGACCACTTACGTCCACTTCACTACTTAATTACACAATTAAATTACCATAACTATTCTTACGTTTCCTTCCCGCTTTCACACCCTACCCCACCTAATAATGACGTCAGCACTGGCGCTTCTCATTTTTCTTCTCCACCACGACACCTTTCTCTTCCTTCGTTTATATTCTGTGCCACATCACTCCCGTCTCTAACAACTTCACACTCGCAATCAATTTTGTCTCATTTTCATCTTCCATGGGAGAAACTCAACTCAACCCTCTGGTCACACCTCCACTCACATGGATTCTCCTTTTCCCTGCGTCGTGGCGTTACGCCACTGCACAGTCTGTCGCACCACCGCCGCCGCCAAACTCCAACCTCGGAATCTACTCAAACTTTGATCCGTCTATGGCTATTATAATTCTGATACTTGTATCCAGTTTCATATTCATTACATTGTTCTCCATCTATGTCCGCCACTGCTCAGAAACCATGATTTCTGTACCTCCACCCGCTGATGACGGCTCCGTGAAGCGTGGCCTTGATCCTGCCGTGATCAGGACTTTCCCGACGTTCATTTACTCTGCTGTTAAAGATCTCAAATTAGGTAAAGGGGCTCTTGAATGTGCAGTGTGTTTAAGCGAGTTTGAAGACGACGAAACGCTGCGTTTAATTCCGAAATGCGATCACGTCTTCCATCCTGATTGCATCGACTTATGGCTGGGTTCTCACGTTACGTGTCCGGTTTGTCGAGCAAACCTTACAATCGAACAGAAAGAGCCGGCTAGATTAACGAATGCAAACAACGATTTAAACAGTAACCAGAATCAGAATCAGAATCAGAATCAGAATCAGAATCAGAACGAGAACAATTCAGTTTCTGAAATTTTTATTGATGTGAACGATGAGCTAAGCAGAAGCAATGAAGTGCAATTAGGCGAAACTGTTAGAAGAAACGACGCCGTGTCTCTGAAGTTTCCACGGTCTCACTCGACGGGACATTCGCTTCTACTAGCCGGAGTGAACGTAGAGAGATACACATTAAGATTGCCTGCAGAGATTAGAAAGCAATTAATTAACGGTAAGATTAAGCGAACGCAGAGTTTCAGTGTCGTTTTGGGAAGGGAAGGGAGTTCCAGAAAGGGTAGTTATAGGAGTGGAGGAGATGACAGTAACAGAGGGAAACGTAATATGGACCGGTGGGTATTGTCGAGGACTCCACCGTTTGTTTCGAAGACGGGGTCTGTCAATTTTGTAAAGTTTGAGAGAGAAGGGTCGTTCGATTCCAATAGTAGGAATTTGTTGACGGTGGTTACGGGGCCGTTAAATTGTTTGAATATGAAAGTTGATCAAGGAGAACAATCGTCGTCGAGGCCGTCTAAGCCTCTGATTTAAGTATTTAACTGATAATAGCATTTGGAGATGGGCATTTTTGGTTTGCCTTTTCTTTTATTTGCTAATTGCAACGAAAAGTATGTACATATTAATTAATAAAAAGATAGGACAAAATCTTCTTGATTTTCTTTTACAGCAAGACATGGTGTAGGCTCTTAGGATTTGATACATTGTAATTTTGTAACAGATAAAGTTTTATGTAATTTCAACAACTTTGCAGAGTCTACTTTGGTAGATAAGTAAGGGAAAAGGATGCAAGGCCAGCCATTGAATATTGTGATGGTGGAGGTCATGAAATTAAGGTGATTTGTGTTTATATTATTATTATTATTATTATTATATGTTTCAACCAATGACTTGAATTACTGTTTTGAATTTGACATTTTGCATTTGCCTGGGTGGTAGGGGGATGAACCTGGGTAATAACTAATAACTACCTGAGGAATAAGACATTTTTAACCTTTGCGCCGTTTCTTACTTCAATTTCTATCTTTTAGATTAAATAATAATTTGATTAATATTAAATTGAATATATTCTTACTCTAAGGGAGCATTTGGTTCGGGGTTAAGTGTGATTATTGGGGTAATGTCATCTTATATTATTTGATTACCACGTTTGGTTGTCAAGTAATATAAGATACCAGTAATCTTCAAATATCAATAGTGGTTACTATTGGTAATATAAGAGGTAATCTGATTACCTCTATTTTCTTAGGTTTTCTGAGATTACCAAAGTTATCTTTTTTTGTTACAATTTTATCCCTTATTAATAAAAATTTTGGACAATAATACCCCTACTTTAAAACAAATTTACATTAATATCCTATTTCAATTTTACCCTTGTTTAATTAAAATTTTGGACAATAATGCCCTTATATTTAAAATAATTTATAGACCACCACTGCCACCAAGCCACCACCACCACAGCCACCCAGCCACCACACCGACAGCAGGTCAACCACCACGGACCACCGCCGGAAAATTGCTGGAGTCCCTAAAAAAGAAGGAAATTCTGTGGGAGGCTCCGGGAGGCTTCGATATGGCCGTTTTCGGCTATATTGATGGCCGAAAATGGCCATATCGGGCCAGACCGAGGGATCTGGCCGTTAACGTCCAGATCCCTGGCCATTATCGGCCAGGTCTGGACCAGATCTGGCCGTTAACGGCCAGATCTATTCTGGTCGGAATAGATCTGGCCGTTAACGGCTAGGTCCATAGCCGTTAACGGCCAAATCTGGTCCAGACCTGGCCGATAATGGCCAGGGATCTGGCCGTTAACGGCTAGATTTGACCCGATATGACCGTTTTCGGCCATCAATATGGCCAAAAACGGCCATAGCGGAGCCTCTTGGTCACGGTGACGTACTCACGGGGACATCCGATGGTGGTTTGCGGTGGCGGCAGGAGGTGGGGGTGATTTCATCATAAATTAAAGTTTTATATAAGCGGGTGTGTTTTGGCTAAATCTGAAATATTGGGGGTTAAAAAAATTATTCAAAAATTAATAATAAAAATAATTTTATATTAATATTTAAAAGGGGGACAATTTAATAATTTAAATAGCATACCCACTAATTTATTCCCCATAACCAAACATATTAATATAACATACCCACCAACTAGCTAAACATATTTTTCTAAAGACTATCAGTAATCTTTCAAGGTAATCTATCTTTCCAGTAATTCAATATTCCCAGTAATCTAACATTCATGAACCAAACGCCCCTTAAGAGATAAATGTCTTGATACTAGCATATTTTTTATTAATTTTTTCTTTTTTTTTTCCCCTCTCTTTTATTTTCTCCGTTTTCACCTAATAAACACATATTTATTAACAGTTAATCTTTAACTTTTTTTTTTTCACATTATTTTTCTCAGTATTTGAATTTTTTTAAATAATTTTCTTACTGCATAAATTTCAGTATATATATTCATAAAAAATTGTTTAAGCAGTCAATTTTTTTTTTTTTTTTTTTTATGCATTATAAATGTGCTAGATCTTTGTCTTTAAATAATAAGTAATGCTATCTATACAAACTACTTCCTACAAACAAACTAATGTGACACACTTGTAATTTCTTTTAATTATTTAATTTCTTTTTAAATTTAAAGTTATCAAATCATCTTAAAACACTTAGTATGAAAGAGTTTATATATGAAATATTATCCTTAAATGAAATATGATAAATCTTATACTACACAAGTATTATCCTTAAATGAAATATGATAAATCTTATACTACACAAGAAGTTCATAAACTTGGCTACCCAAAACCCTTCAATTCTCAATCAAATAAAGACTTCTTTCTTCTTCTAAAGTTGTCATATCTAGTGAGAGAATCATCTAAATCCTTATCTAATACTTCTCTCTCTCTCCCTCTTTTAAATAATTTTTTTTTTTTTTGAATTTAAGAAACCAAAATATCAGATAGGCCATCTATTTTCTATGCAATGTTATTTATACTAATGCAAACTAGAGACGGTGGAAGAGATTAATATACAATTTATTTTGTGCACTTTGGATATTTTATAAGTTTGCATCTACTGAAAATAATTTGATGAATAAAGAAAGAGAAAAGAGAAGACAAAAGAGAGAGTGACAATAGAGAAAAAGTTAATCATAAATGTGTTAATTCCAAGACGCTTATTTATTGTACTGACAAACACCAAGCTCAAATCCCGCAATCAATCAACTACAGTAACTATTTACCCAAAACCAATTAAGAGTATTTTTAAAAGACTTTTGTCATCACTCGAATTTTTTTTTGTTATAAAGAACCTATTCATCAAAAGAAAAATAAGAGTTTAATATACTTTTTATAATACTTATATTGAGGTACGTAATTTAATTTATACCCTTATACTCTTAGTTGATTTTTATTAAAATTATTTTGAGAAAATGTGAAGAAAATTAATGTTTTAAAGTTTTATTAAAGGTAAAATAGTATTTTCGCTCAAAATTAGTTGAAATTATGATGAGTAATAAGAGATAGAATTTTATGGAGAATGCAATAAAATGAGAGCATTATGATAATTGACTAAAGGACATAGATGAAATTTAAAAGAAAGTGCAAGGGCAAAATGGAAAACTATATATAATATTATGTTATATCAAGGATTGAATAGTGAAACCCTAACCACTCTTCATCCATTTTCATGCCACTTTCACCTTCATATTCTCTCAATTTCTTCAATTCTTCTTCAAGGGAAATTCATAGATCTTGGGTACTTTTGAGTAGATTTTCAATCTCAAGTATCTTTAGGTAAGATCCTTGTACTAAGAAATGAGTTTTTCTTATATATATTTAGTTGGTTTTACTGTTATTTTATGAGTATACTAGCTAGAAAGAGAGTCATTACACTCTTTACCTTTAAAATATAAATTAGAGAGTGAGTTTGACTCTCCACATATAGAGAGTCAAATTTCACTCTCTATCTTAATTTTAATTAATAAACTACAAGTTCTTATGCATTTTATTTATTAATTATCTCTCCCATTAAGTCTCTTTCTTAAAATAAAGAGCATGTTCATTAAATTTAAAAAGTCTATTGGATTTGAATAAAAATTATGTTCTTTATATTTAAAAATTAATAAAGAGACTCTTTATTTATATGAAAGATGCTCTTCAAAATAAAGAGCACCATTGGAGATGCTCTAAGTAAACACACCAATAATCTCACACAACCAGAAGAAGATGAATAAAATACGATGATATTTGATTTCAAGTAATAATCAATTGAACACAACTTTGATTCAACAAAAAATTAGAAAGCAAAACAGAGAAGATAAAATGAAAATACTGAGGAAAACATATTACGCAATTCATTCACATACTCTATAACATAATTTACCAACTAACCACCCTCATGCCACCATCTATCCACACTCACTTGACTCACTTGCTTGGCATTCTTTTTGCTGCATTACCAATAATCCCTTGTTGTCCCCTCCCACGCCTTCTAATATAGACCACAATAGGTGTTTAATCAATAACAACGCCAACCAACAACAACCCACCAACCCACCCCCCAACCAAAAGGAGAGTCACCTTGTCCTCAAGGTGGAATTAGGGAAACTGTAAGTTCAATGTGGTAAAGTCCTCCTAGGTGTCATCATGATGCTACAGCCTTTTCCACTTAATGAGGACCTCTTGCTTTCCATTAAGTAAACTCCTGGTTTTAATGACTTCTTTAGGTTCTACAACTAAAACCAAGTCATTCATTGAGTGTTGCGGGGAGAGGCTGAACGTTGGCTAGTGCAGATGTGTTCTTCGTTAATTGGGATACATGGAAGACGTTGTGAATGCGGCTATCACATGTAACTCCAACCTTCAGGTTGTAGCTCCCATTTTCTCAGTAACCCGGAAGGGACCATAAAATCTTGGACTAAGCTTCTCATTTTACCTCTGGGCCAAGGATCTCAAACGGTAAGGCTGGAGTTTTAAATAGGCCGACTCTCCCACCTCAAATTGAACATCTCTCCTTTTTGTATTTGCGTAAGTTCTCATACGATTATGAGCTTTATTGAGGTTGTCCTTAAGCTCAACGAGGATATTGTTACGATCCCAGAGCTGTAGTTTACTTCGTCCATTATGGAGCTATGATCAGTGTGCTTTAGCAAGGTAGTAGGATCTCTTTCGTAGAGTGCTTTAAAAGGGCTCATTCCCATAGAACTACTATAGGTTGTATTGAACTGGAATTCGGTCCACAGAATCCACCTAGTCTTATGTTGTGGCTGATTTCCTACAAAACAATGCAAGTAGGTTTCCAAACATCGATTTACCACCTCGGTTTGACCATCCGTCTAAGGGTGATATGCTAAACTCATATGAAGTTTCGTTCCGGATTGTTTGAACAATTCCCCCCAAAAGTGGCTCATGAAAATTCTGTCCAGATTTGAAATAATAGTCTTCGGAAAACCATGCAATCGAACCACTTCTTTAATTAACAAAGTAGCTACTTCCTTAATTGTATAAGGATGTTTCAGCATTAAAAAATGACTATACTTCGTAAGCCGATCAACGACCACCAACATAGTATCATCATTTTGCGCCTTGGGTAGCCTTATCACAAAATCCATTGAAATGTCTTCCTAGACTTAAACAGGAATAGGAAAGGGTTGTAGAAAACCTATTGGACTTAGAGCATCACACTTACTTTGTTGACACACTATACATGCTTCGACATAGGCATGAATATCTTTCTTCATACCCCTCCAATCAACTACATTCATAAGGTGCTTGTGTGTGCGAAAGAATTTGGAGTGCCCTCTAATGGGTGATGAATGAAAATCGTGCA